CCGCATTGATGTCAGCGCACATCACCTACTTGAGACGTCAATCTATGGCTTAAATTTGACCTCGAATCCACTGAAGTTGACGTGACTACTGTTTGACAGTCTCAGAGCGCGAGCTACTTCTTATCTACCAAGCTTGCTTGGATTGACCGAAACGCTGAAGGCCGCCTCTTTGATGAGTATATCTCCAAACTCCACGTTACCCCGGAATCCGACACCTTCAGCCGTTGCCTGAATGTTTCTCTGACATTCTGCACAGGGAAGGTACCAAGTTCGCCCTCTATAGACCTCGGCAGCTGGTCCCTTTCGTTGGCCGTAACCCTTTTCAAGCAAGATATAATTACCAAGATCATTTCAACCACCGGAACCTGGGATAGAGAACAAATTGCATAAGTTCAAGTTGTCCTTCATGCTTAATCGAATTGAGGGTTCGAAGCCCTATTCCATGTAAAGCGCCCTTGTACTAAAGATGATTCCGAAAGCTGCGGCGCCACTACCTGTGGTATGATTCGCCGTTGGGAGCACCTCGACAGTATATGCGTAAGCGTTACTGTAGTAAGTATTGATGTAGCGAGCTGTGATACAGTTCTAGAATGTAGCGTTCTCGCCTTTCCAAGTAAAGGCAGTAGGTTGCACCTAGCACTACAAATACCCACTATCTGTTCACCGGCTGTGATGCCGGTGCCAACAAAGAAAAGGGCCGTGCCCGAACTGGCGCCTATGGATATTGCTTGATTGAGTTGCAATGTCGTGGTAGCGCGGTAACCAGCACTGAGAGGCCGAGGGTCTTAGAAATTGTTGTCAAGCTCAGATATCGGAAAGTCTCCGGCCGGGATATAAGCTTCTCCGGAATTCTGGTCGAGATAGCCCTGTATATTGACTACCTGTAGTTACTAGAGACTTAATGACACGTGGGGATCTCGAGCCTCCTGATTAGCGGGGATTGGTTTATCCGGACCTTGGTGTTCATGTCTCAAACTGATCCCTATACCCATCTGAATACCCTCACCTTCTGCTACAGGCGTGACTCAGTATCGATCTCCCCTTCCTTCTTGACTATAGAATCTTTTATACTGACTATTTCTTTTTAGTAGAGTTTTACCTTTTTGACTTATTTATAGCTATTTATAATACAGTTTATATTAAATTTAGCTGTTGTTTCGTAAATAACTACAACATTACTCCCTACAGTTCTAAGTAGGTCAGTACTCTACTATTCTTAAGATGAACGATATTTTTGGTCTCTAATGAACCAATTAATTGACGATGGCGAGGATGGCATGCTACATGCCACGAGGGCAATGGACCTCTCTTCACATCTAGACAGCACACTTAATAGATCAGCAATCCAACAGATAGTTCTGGTTCAGTATTAAAGACTTGACGGACACTTTGAAAAGGCCAGAGATTTTAGGCTTTTGTCCTCGGTTCAGAATCTCATACTTGTATATATGCGTTACGAAATTTGATGAATCAAATCTACTTTCAGTACTTACTACCCTGTACACTGAGGTAGATTCTTGCTTAAATCCTACTTGTCTTCCGTAATCATCATGTCACCTCTATGTATGGAGCTCATGGGATCGCGCATAACTAGTTGATCGGGTGTTCAGGTTTCAACATAAACCAAAACATCGTATTTTGTCAACGAAGAGCCAGGTATACACAACCCACGATGACACGTCGGTGCAGATCGTACTGGTGAAACATTAGCTTGAGCAACCTCCAAAGTTTAAATCGTTTGACAGGAATCACATCTGCACGGTAACGTTCAAATTGGCCCTAGAATGAGTAAGGAAAGGGCCAACACGACTCTCCCGTATAGAGTGCGGCTTGCTCTAGCCTCATATGGTCATTGTAACCGTGTCACTTGATACCATAACTATAGCCTCACTTCAAAACCAGCGGCAAAGAGGCATTTTCAAGGCGGTCTGAATCGTCTTCGGCTATATTACCCGGAAAAATACTGTTCCTCCCCACATTAGTGAGTCGGTGTGATGTCGTACCCCCTGTCAGGAACAAACCTTATTGACGGTCCCTAATAAAACCATGAATTACGTCTGCGTATTGCCATGCGAGATTTCTAGCTACCTTGCTGCGTGAATTTCTCCTGTACATGGACGAGCTTGGCCAATTATAATGATTACGAACAGAAACGACAGAAAACTGGAAGCTTAACATCCACTACAGGGCCTGAACTCATGGCTTGCAAGGGACTGAAGTGGATACTCCAATATGCAGCTCTTCGTGTTGACGACGTTTTTTATGGGTGATTTAAGCTTTCTGAAGCTTGAATCTGTCCTTGATGCAGTCCAATGGTCTACGCCTGCTTTTACATCGCCTGAGGCTGCGTTGAAGCTTTGGTCGCGAACTTGATTATCTATGCATGCTTGAATGCAATGAACCTTTGGCTGTTTACTTTATTTCTTATGTGAGATGATTTGACATCCTACTGACTTCTATGTTATTACTAATTCAGCCAGCAATAATTATTACTGCTGGATAGCTAAACTGTTACGTTTTAAGCTTTGTAGGGTGGAGCTAGAAGCGCTTTCAGAAGGTCTTTTACTTCTCTATTTGTATCTGCCGATAAATTCAGAGTACTAGTCAAACCACAGACTAGGTGTTTAATAACACTATCAGTCCCATTTGAGATACTACTTTGGATAAATAAGACATGAACTTAAAATCCCAAGAATTAGATATAAAAGAGTATTTCAGTTAAGTTACTGCTACTAAGTCTTTATTTCGGTCTTGATTTCATAGCCTCTAACTGCATCAATTTTTTAGATATACAACCTACACAATGAAGCTGACCCTTCTCTTCTTCCTTCCAGTAGCTTTGGCTGCGGTAAGTGATTATGGTCTGAGAGGTGACATCTGTCTAATATTAATAGAATTGCTGGCCTCCCGCTCCGAATGCCAGCGATTCTGGTCGTTGCTACTGGGGTACAAGCGCCTTTGCTGCTTGCGCTGCAGTATGTATTTTCCCCCTCGCCAACGAGCTTTGCTGATATTGATGATTCCTCATAGAGCTCTCCATGCACTGGCAACGGAAAACCATGCACACTTCTTGGAGGTGGAGTTGCAAGCTGCACTTAAGGAATTTAGGGGCTATCTTTCGACAGATGGTTATACACAATCTTGTTCAGAGCCATGGGAAAATGGCGAACTCATCTCCAATATCAAAAGGGTAGCCTGTCATTACAATATTAAATGAATTACCCTCCCTTCGCTTATCTTTCTCAAGTGCATCCCATCTTGGTCGCTGTCTATCTCATGTCCAAATACATATCACTCACATCTCATGTCTCGAATTCGTTGCATCCAGTTCAACAGGAGGATACTGCGGCGGCGGCGAACCATAAGCCAAAACTGATCCCGCGTTCTTCGTATCCTCCTTCGTCTCCAACTCAGCAGCCGGCGGTGAAGCCCTCTTTCTTCTCCTCCAGAGATAAAACGCCGCTCCAATAATCGCAAGCCCGACTACTCCAACCCCAGCTCCAATACCAGCTTTAGCACCAGTCGATAGTCCCCCGCTCGAAGATCCGTCTGAGAATGATTCACCTGTACCAGTCTCTGCTGGTGCCGAATCTGTTTTTGTAGATCCTGTTGAACCAGATGACAGGCTTAGATCTTTTTCGCGATAGTTGAGCTGGATCATTGGTGCGAAGATGGTTATCCCATCTAGAGACACTGTGCTGGTTTCATCTGTCACTGTGGCTGGGAGGGTGAGCCAGTTGAGAACTGTCTTTTGGTTCGAGCATGATGCTACTTGTAATGATCCTCTCGAAGCGATGGTTGTGCATGTTTGTGGCCCTCCAGGTTGCGCGCATGTATATCCACTACTACGGTCAGTTCCCGAACCAAACAGCAGTCATCAGGCGTTCTTACGATGGACAGCATCCTATGACCCTCTCGTCATCTTGTATCGAGAACTGGAAATTGAAGTTTCCGGTCTCTGGGCCCGTTGCGGTACATGCTTTTTCGTAGCCTTGAGGACACTCGAACGCGGGAGAGTAGAAGCCCCAGCCATTCACCGCATTTCCAGCCGAGATCGATGATTTTCGCGGCGGCCAACAGTCTGTATCGTCTAGTACGCCTTGCTACAGGGTTCTGTCAGATCTAGTTCGACGCGTCAAGGAAACATTGACCTACCGTGTTGTCCTTGTTATCCCCGCACGTCTGGCCTTGCCAGGCATTCGTGCATGTCGTGCAATCGGTCACTGGCACAGTACATCGATCAGGGTACTTCCACTCTGTCGTGAGAGGACCCAAATTCGTTCGCGCGCTCGGCATAGCGGTCGTGTTATCGATGTTTTTGTGGAGGATAAAAGAGGCGAGGCGAGATCTTCAGGTCAAGAAACGGCGAAAGATAAAAGAATTGACCAAGGAGAGAAATCAGAACGCCTCAGCTAATCCATCATCCCTGTTAGTTCCGTCTTACTGCATCACACCTGTTTCCCTTTCGAGGCGCTGTAGGCTTACTTGCGTCCATTTCATCAACGACGTGGCCAATAAACAGCATTGTTTCTCATTTCAAGCTTTTCTGCCCAATAACAGCCAACGGAGGCTGTCATCACCATCGGGATTGTAAGGGCGTTGCCGTTCTGGTGAAATTATGGCCCCCAAATGCCGAAAGGATTTGGATAACCTTGCAGATACGGAACCACATGGCTGACTTATGTTGGCTATGTCTCTCAGCCATTCACAAGGATATCTGTCAAAGAGCCAATCGTAACAGCATCTCATCTCCCCATCCCTGACTTGCACGTCTCACTGGGCTGATTCGAAGGCTATGCTGGATCCTTCAGTCATTCGTGCGGCATTCAATATTAGGTGAGCTCCATTCAATATTCGACTGGGGCTATTGAATTAGGACACTTATCACTAATCATCAAAGGATTTCGCCTGAGCCCGCCATTTGCGCTTTGTCGCTAGAAATGTTCAAATCTCCCAAGCCTCGACCTGAGATACATGAGGAAGTGAGGCAAGCCTGTAAATCATCCCATGTTTGAAACATTTACCGTTATAGTATGTGAATTTCCAGGAGATCGCTGAAGAGCCCCAAGAGAGATACGAAGACGATGCGCGGCATCACTGGAAGGGAGGCTGATTTTCTGCGGTAGAATATTCCCCGAAGTGAGAACACAGTCGCGCAGTTGATGCAGGTAGTACTCCTCTCCGTACGAACTGTAGTATCCATCGACGCAGTCCATTATATTTCCATATCTCTGCTTATCCGTAGAGCTATAAATACTCATCCACGGTTTCAAGTCCCCAGATGACGAATCCGCTTCTAAGCCGAAGACTACATAGATCCGAGGAGAGATAAAGGTCTTGGAAGTATCTGTTAGCTGAAAATTGAGAAAACCAGTGAACTTTTCGCTCCTGTCCGTGACGAATTCTTGACGCAGGGTATCCCATAGATCTGCTGGCTTCGCTGCGAAAGAAGCGAGCTTGAATCCAGGACAAATATTGAACTGCGACGCAATATTCATGTCGAGGCGCCTTGCCAAGTCAGTGGAACCAAATGACGTGACATGTTTTCGAATAAAGATCTTGTGGCGTGGACCGGCCCATAACAGAGAATCTTGTGTTTCGAATAGTTCATAAGGTCGGCTACGGACAAAGCCATCCGCCGTCTTTGTAAGGTAAACTCCAATCTTCGACGCACTCCCATTGTCATCCGGTATTATGCACGCGAGGTTGAGGACGTATTCCTTGTCCTTGCTCTCGCCAAGAAATGTCTCCAGTCTGAGGCCCTTATTCGTCATGCTATATTCGTGCCCGTATCTCATCGTTGAAGCGCGGCGGAGATTTCGACAGTGTGCGAACTCGGAGGGCGCTAGAGCGAGGATACCGCGAAATCCTAGCGGCCGAAATATCCCTAGATATTTCCCTTCGTACAAACTGACTTTCCATGCAAAGATAGAGAGGTCAGTTGTTTCTTTGATGATTTCCTCTTGAAGTCTGCCAAAGGCTTTGGTCCCTTCTCCATAAAGCATTGGCATGTTGACACCAAAGATCCCGAGGAGGCAGTACGCTAGATCCTCTACTCTTGTGGTCTCTCGGTTTGCTGCCCATGACATGCGCTTCGCAACTGGTATGGTCTCCAAGATAGCATTGTTTTCGAGAACTGCCATGTCGATACCGGTGATGCCTGAGATTCTGCCTTGAAGCTCTGCTTTGGTTCCCCGGTAATTCCAAGCACTGTCGTAAAACTCAAGATTTCGTGAAGCAATCAGTTCCTGCAGTGTCCATCCTCTGGTAAACCATCTACAAGACGACAAGCCAGAAAGCTGGTCATCCTGCGGACCGCGATGAAGGTCCAAATCTTCGAGGTGAGCAAAGCAAACTTCTGACAGCTTGTACCAGTTGAACATGGAGTTTATAGCTTCAGCCAGCTCTGCGCTGCTCCTCTTGTCCACACAGCAAGTGTCGACCTATGCGTATGCGATCCCTCTTTCTTTCGCCAATCTGCAGGTGTGTATGATCTTTACGTAGCCTTTCTTTCCCTTTTCTTGGCCCTTCATCATGTCTTCGAATGTGACTTCATCCTCACCCCAAGTATGCGACAGAATCGCATATGGAGTTGATGATATGTTCCTGTCCTCCAGGGCGATTGTCGTTGTATTGATAAGCCACATGATTGCACTCAGCACAAGTTCGGAATATCTACAAAGCCACAAAAGTTTATTTGGCTATATTTCAGGCTTGTGTCTCTTTCTTGGCAAATTTATAGTGACAGCTTTGCAACAGGTTGACCTCAGAAGCGGGGTTAGATTCAGCTGACAGCTGAGGCATTTCAGGTCATCGGAAAATAGTCGGCATGATGATGACCAAAATACCAGGCCTTGGCTGCACCAGCATCGATCCGATCTCACACACTTTGACTAGCTATATGAGGAGCTTTGAAGTAATCTGACGGTTGCAGGCCATCACATTATTCAGGGTAGGAAAGCTAAGTATCGACCTTGTACGGAGCACGAATCCATTAGGACTGATCGATGTAACCTCATATCTCCAGAAAGGCAAAAAAGCAATATTACCGCAAGAAAAACTCATTCTGCAGCAAATACGAACCAATTCAAAGATTGTCTAAGATTAGCAAGCATCGTGGAGAGTTGCCAACAATGGCAAGTCACAGCGACGTCTCTAGCTTCCAAACTTTACCGCTTTCCAGGCTAGCGCAACCACGAACTCATCGTAGCCGAGATCCCTCCATTGGCTCCATTCAATTAATATGAGGTAACAAGATCGATTCTATGGGTCCGGAATTATGAAGAAATTTCGGTGGAGAGCCAAACATGGACTAAAGATGAAGTCATAAGGAGCGTTCCCCAGGATCTCCATCTCTTGGCTGTTAACTTGGCATTTCTAAAACTACAAATATTCTTAGCCAAGAGATCTAGCCAAGTAGTTTCACTTGGCGAAACGATCAGAAACTATGTTTGCTGAAACGGAAAGATCTGAGGTTGCTCGTAGCAATGAGTCGTCAGGTATGTTGCATTTGAAGTGATGATGAGAGGTGAGGTGCTAATTAAGATAGAGCAACCGATAATTGTCCAATGGAACGGCCCAAATGACCCTGGGAATCCCTATAACTGGTCCCGCAAGAAGAAATGGTTCGCCGTTGGTCTTGGACTCTTCGCGACGTTCATCTCGATGATGAACGGAACAATCATCACTACAGCGCACGAAGCAATTGGCGAGGACTTCAATGTCAGCGACGAGACCTTCCCGCACTCGTATTGGCCCGTGGCATCATGGGGATTGGGCGGTGCGTTGTTCTCACTGGTTTTGCTTCCGATCATGGAAGACTTTGGAATGAGACTTGTGTTTCTTGTGGTGTACACCGTCTTCCTCTGCTTTCTCATTCCCGTTGGAGTGGCGCCTAACTACGCGACCTTGATCATCACTCGCTTCTTCAGCGGTGGATGCTGCACTATTCTCGCGAATGCAGTAGCGGGCATAATCGGAAACGTCTTTGCTACTGATCGAGCTCGAACAATCCCAACTGGGTTGTATATCATGATCTACCTGAACGCCAGCAGTCTTGGACCAGTCATTGGCGCTGCTATCTTTCAATTTCTGCCCTGGCGATGGATAGGCTACATTGAACTCATCTGGACAGGTGTTTTCTTCCCAATCTTCATCCTGGCCATGCCTGAGACGCGAGGCTCGGCGATCCTAACCGCGAGGGCAAAGAAGCTGCGGAAGCAAGGGAAAAATGCGTACAGCCAGAAGGAACTTGAATCAAAGTCGATTCTACACGATATTTGGACGAGCATTCAGCGACCACTCTACATGCTCTGCACCGAGTCGGTTGTCTTCATCTCAACTATCTGGACGGCGTTTAGTCTGGGAGTGATTTATGTTTTCACCCAATCTGTTGAACAAGTCTTTACTGCTCTGTACGGATGGAACGCTATTGAAGCCGGCTACGTTCAAGCAGCCATCGTCATCGGAGAAATTCTCGGCTTTGGTCTTTGTGTTCTGACAAACAACTGGTATTACGCTTCTGCGTCACGCAACAAAGAAGCGCCTGGTACACCCATCCCCGAAGCTCGACTCTATGCCGCCGTAATCGGAGGTTTCATCGGCGTCACGGGCGGAATGTTTGTCTACGCCTGGACAAGCTATTCCTCGGTGCACTGGATCGGACCTGCATTTGGACTTATGCTCGTTGGACTTGGTACTGAGGCTGTTGTCGTTAGTATCGCGAACTATCTGATCGATGCTTATAGCAACTATGCTGGGAGTGCTATTGGAGCTACAGTGTTGGGTGAGAACTTGGGCGTCGCGTTTTTGCCGCTTGCTTCGAGCAGTATGTATACGAATTTGGGCTTTCACTGGGCCAGTTCGCTGCTGGGGTTCATCTCGTTGGTGTTGGCAGCGGCGCCTATTGGGGTGTTCATCTGGGGCAAGGAGATTAGGGCGAGAAGTCCGTTTATGAAGTCTGCTATGTCGAAGCCTATGGAGTTTGCGATCTCGCCCTCGGAGTGAGGGGGTTAGAAATGAACGATACATAGTAGCTACATGTAAATTGAATGAGACAATGTTATCGCATGAGACAATATGTCACATGTATTTGAAGGATTCAAGGTACGCCGACGAGATAAAATCGTGAATCTCTTCGACCTGCCAAATTTAGCCGTATTACTTCGTTTGTCTCGGATCAGTCGGGTCCTTTTGTCCTTGGCCCCAAATCCTTCTCACGTTGAGTCATTCAACCCCAACATGTGCAAGGTTTCAGCAAGCCACTTTCTCTCACATTGGCTCGCTTGGTGATTGAATTCACGCCGCTAATTTACCGATCTGATAAGCAGGATCTGATAACGTGCATGATAAGCGAGTGCTCCAGACAAGCGAGTGCTCCAAAAATCCCTCAACCTACACTATCACTTTTCAATCAGATATTTCTCAACAATCCAATATGCCAGAGTCTCCAAATGAAGCTAAGATTATTCTTGCCCTTCAGGCCCTCCAGAATGACCCAAAATTAAGTCTTAGAAAGGCCGCAGCTATATATCATGTTGACCGCTTTGCCTTAAGTCGCCGC